TATTATTATTATTATTAAGGTCTACCAAACTTCTGCACAGGAGTAAGATGACAGAGGGAAACAGTAAAAGTCTGCGACATTTCAAGAAACATAAACAACATAAAATTAATCACTGCTCTCTCGCTTCCTTACAATAAAAGAACATATGGGCATCAAATCAAAGTAGAAGGAAGCAGCTGAAAACCAGAAAAAGAGGATAATTAAGCCATGCAAGCCCTTGCCACAGGGCAGTGCAAATGACAAAAATTTATAAAGACTTAAGATGCACCTGAACAATTTAATGGAAGAAGAATCCATTTAGGATTACTGATATACAGAAGGCACATCTGGCTCAGAAAGCCCTTGAGCTCCAAACTGCTGGACACTGAGATACGAATTGTGAAGCACCACTACTCTTGTACGTTTTCCCCACACCATCTGCTGTTTTACACTAGAGGAAGCATGACACCAGGCTGGACCTCAGGTCTAACTTTGTATGGCAGCTCCTACATTCTCCTACTAATACAGACACTAGGTATCCCTCAGCATAATAATTTTACACCAGGTTTGCTGCATCCAAATTACAGTATTTTCTCCAAAACATTGTTCCTAAATCAGGATCTTCAGAATTTGTCTTCTGTAGCGATGTCTTTCCTACCTCCAGTAAGTCAATCATCCGCGTCATCTGGGAGTAGATGAGAACTCTGTGTCCTTGAGATTTCAGTCGTGTCAATAGAAGATCAAGAGCATGAAGTTTTCCACTGTCAGTGATCAGACTCTCTTTGTCTAAACAGAAATGGAAGAAAAGCAGGTAACTAATAAAGCCAAAACAGCTACATGCAACAAGTTAACTTCTGAATTTTAACAGCAATTCACCGCATTGTCATTCCTACGGTAATGAGTTGTGATGGAAGAAACTGCAACATCCCTCCTGGCTGACACAACCACACTGCTAACAGTAACTTTTGCTTGCTGGGATGGGAGTGAATGAATATACCCACTTGACAAAATCTCATCACAGATTGATGTCCTCATGAGTATGGACTCAACCCTTTTTTGGGCAGCCATTTCCCAGATCAACAATCACAACATGCCTCGAGAGCTGAAATGTTTCTCCACTTCATACATTAAAATGCTGTCCTTTGGATATTTGCTGCTATCTGCTGCTGAGCTTTAGACTTATCCTCCACAGATCTAGTTCCAAGATCAAACCCCTCCCCAACATGGAAAGTGAAGAACAGTTCTCTAGGTCACTGTAAAATAACAGCCCCTTCACAGCCCTGCCTTAACTTCTTCTCTGCCCTCTGCTTTCGGGGTGGTTTGTTTTGGGTTTTTTTTTGTTTAAGAAATGTTTCCAGATAGCAATCTTTTGAGTCACTTCAGATTTTATGCTTCATGTCCTCTCTATTCCAGCACTGCTCATGAAGTATTTTTCAGGAAGGAGATCTTCCTGTTTGTACATTCTGTACATAAACTTCAGTAAACAATACATTACTGTTGAAAGAGGATGAAGAGAAATTTTCTTCCAAAAAATTTATCTGTTGGAAAGGCCACTGATGATTCTTTATTCTTTGGGATGTCTGAATTTAGGTTTGCAGCCAAAACGGAAAGTTGACAACTGCAGATGGTGCAGGCTAGTACAGAACCCAAATATTTTCAACATGCCTAGCAGGTACCATTCTCTAATGTCTAGCAGGCAACACATCTGCACACTTCTCGTTGCACAGAATGAAGTAACTGTTGGGCTGAAGAAAATCCAGCTTTCTGGAAGGCAGTTAATCTTACACAATATTCCGATTTTTTAAAAAGTTATACACAAAAATTAATTCATTCATCTGAGCACCATGCATTTTAAGATAGGTAAAACCAAATTCATATTAGTGGAACAGAGGAGTACAGATCACACAACAGCACTCCTAAAAAGATCTCATGGGCACAGCAGGCAACACAGTCCATGAGTGTTCAAGTGCAGTGATGTGGCACACAGAGCTAAGTTTGATTTTTTG